TATCACTACCCCCTCCCCCCAACCTATCACCGCCGTCATCAATCGAAGCCTCAGACCCATTGAAAGCCAAAGGTGAGCCAAAGGCCCCTTCAGATTCATCCCTTACTGTATTTGTGCCAAAATCCAACACACGGTTCAGACCCTTCAACCCATTATACATTCTCAATTCCTTCACCAAAATTGACGCAGCCTCCTGACTTAACTGAAATTTTGAGTCAAGTCCCACACACACCGTAACTCCATCCAGACCTACCAACGCTGCCATCACTGATACATTCTCCCTTAATAACTTGGGAGAACAACTCAGCAGAATATCCAGTGTATGGTTCCTCAACTGTCCCACCTCATCCTCTATTTCCGCATCCAACCCCATCCCCTCTGAATCCACTTCCACCACAAGAGACAACACCCCATTTCTCTCTGACTTACGGTCAACCTCCACCCCCATTTCCCTCCTCAACACCCCACAAGAAGCAGTAGAAGAAGAAGGAGCAGATAGAAAGCTCCGAGAGTTAGGGAAAGAAGACATACCAGGTTGGCTTTCCTTTGGGCAAACCCATTTTTGTTTCTCCTTTCGTGACCAACGCTTCCCATCTCTAATTATGGGATCACCATCCTCAAAAGAAGTTAATGGCAGAGACCAAAAATCCGAAGCCTTCTGCACACAGCAACTCCTATGGCGAAACCTTTTCCCCTTGCAACTGCAATAAGAGCTGGCTCTAACCCAGTTCTCTTTCTCTGATCGCGTCCAATGTCTGTCAACCTCACCGAGCACCGCTACAGAAATCCCCACCTGGGCTTGGCCCAACCCATCCCCTCTAGATCTCCTCTCCTCTTCCTTCGAGCCCAAACCCAAGACTCTAAACTCTTATTAGGGACCCCAATACACAGCCCTATCTCTCTTTTGCTGGACCAAGTTATTAGGTCCAAACCCATCATTAGACTTGTGCATCTGAACATAAGGACGAGCTGACCTGTTGCGCGGCCTATTAAGCAGCCCACGTCACCTTGCCTAGCCCCTTCCAACACCTTATCTGTAATCTTCGAAACCCTATCCCCTGCACGTGCACGCCTCCAATCCACCCCATCCCTACTCGCCTCCTGCGCGTACATAACACTTCGTCCTTGACCTGGTTGCCATCCATCTTTCTCCCATCTACCCAAGCTCGCCGATCGGACTGAACCAGCATCGGTATGCGAGACACACATCCATTCTTCTCAAAATTCAGAGATGCCATGGGTTTCGCCACCACAGAAGGAGCAATCTCCTCCGTCACTGAGATCTTGAAAGCCCAATCTCTGTCTTCAACGATCATGAACTCAGGGATGACCCCACCGTCGTCCACCGTGATGACTATCCTTTCTGTCTCGCTCTCAGAGACCTCGACCTCCCTAAACCCACCACATAATTCCCCTATAGATTCAAAAAGCTTCTGGCACCATAAACGGAGTGGAAGACCAAACAGCACTATCCTCCTTTGCCTCGTCAATTTCCTCATCCCCAAACACCCAACTCTGTAACACCTTAATCATAGGGTTTTGCTCTTCCTTGAGGTACGTGTGTCTAACCCACTTATTCCTTGGAGTTAGTTAGTATTTTATATGCTTTTCTTGTTATAGCATGCTAAATGTTGAAGATGCCATGTTTTTAGCTTTGATCTTCAAGTATATGTTGTTTTTCATTCTTGTTTGGTGATGCAGATATGAGAATTTGGTGCATTAATGCGGAAGAGATGACACTAGTATGATTAGTAATGTTGCTAATTTTGTAGTAAAGAGAAAAGTATGATTAAGGTGTTAATTTCTTGTTTTATGTGGACCGTGGATAGTCACTATTTGTTTTATATGAAAATAGATGATTTTTACTTATTGAAGAAGTTTTGACTTTATTTATTATATGCAAACTATGTTGATTAAATGCCTAAATGGTGCTTGTTTATTTTATTGGTTGAAATGATGTTTAAAATTATAATTGTTGTGAACTTGTGATCACATGATGAAGAGAATGACTCAATTATTGATCTTCGTTGCATTCATTCCATTTGCATTGGTGAGAGTTCATGAGTAAGTGGATTTGAAAGGAGAACGATGGTTTAGGGACAAGGTAATTAGTGAGCAAGAGAAAGATAAAATGTGTTTTGAGGTTATTAATTGATTCGGAATGAGTAAGATTTTGGGAAGGTGTGTTGTGTTATTTTATTTGTCGTGTAGATACGGGAGGTACTCATGATTTGATTTGCATTTCGTAACGAGGGTCACCTGTGAGAAAGATTTGTATTTCGTAATGGGGGTTCCTGTGAGTCATGTTCAGAACAGGGGTTACCTGTGGTGTTTTGTAACGGGGGTTGCCTGTGAGTCGTGTGTGTGTTTTGTAATGGGGTCATCTATGAGGATGTGTGTGTTGAAGTACGGCTTCTTATGATTACTTCGAGTTCGGTAGTAGAGGGGATGTTGCCTAGAGTTAGTTGGGTTGTGATGTCTTGATTAGGTTGGAAAGATGAAGTTCGGAATGGAGACAATTTGAAAAGGATGATGCTAGGGTGTGCATATCATATGTTGATGTACATTATTCTTTGTAATATGTGCTTGGGATGTTTGGATGATGGTAAGTGCTTATGTGCTATCTTGGTTATACGTAGTAATGCTATGTGAAATGCTATGTGAAAATTCCTTGATTTCCCCGATTCACATAATATGATCCCTCTCTCTCATTCTAATTCATTATGTGTTGCTCACGCGTCTTTAAGAGGGGTGTTTTAGGCATACTCTACTAAGTCGTCATGCTCACCCAAATATTTAAACATTTTCAGGGAATGGAAAGAAGTGATGGAGAGCATTCAAGCTCACTCTTGAAGCAATTGAGGAGATTGGACTCATTTTGTCAGATGCAATGCATAGACCATATACATGTTTAAATTTTTGATGTGTATAAGCATTATATATATAACCATGATGGCTTCACCCTTGTAATCCTATTTTTTGTATGACTAAATATAATTTGGGCATATATCTTGACTTCAGTTTCCATATATGTAAAGTTAAACTGAACTTGGGAGCTATGTTCTTATGTAAAAGAAATACTTTTCCTATGGAATTCAAATGGATGGAAATGGATATGCAAATGATTGGAGATTTAGTATATTCATGTTTACAGATGTGATGGGAGTCATAAATATCTTATTTATTATGTTTAAAACAGGTTGGAAAACATTTTATTGACCCTTCACGGGACCAAAATGGTGCCCATGACCTTTGACACTTAATATAGGCTTTTCTAAGCTATTTTATGCATTCTGGCCAAGTTGAACCGATTCAGCCCCTATCAACAGGTTGAGATATGAATTTAGGTTCCGAAAATAGGCTACTACCCAAGTTGAACCGGTTCAAGTGTCCCTGAACCAGTTCAAGTGTTCCAGAATCGGTTGACTTTGGACAGATTTCAATTTTGGACCCCCAACTTCGAGTAGCCATAACTTCTTTATTTTAAATCCAAATTGGAACTTTCTTGAGTCCAAATTGACCGGTTCGAAGTCAGATTTCTAATGATATCAACCCCATCCTCAAATTTCAATCACACTGAAATTTATAGCTGTTTTAGTGAGGTAGTGCTGGGAAATCCTTCAAACCGGGAGTAGGTAATTGTGGGAAATCATAGTTATGACCATTAGAAACTTGTGGAACGGGTTTAATTGGTTAATGTGATCATAAAGAACCCCATTTGGCACATTTATGGTAAACTCATCATCCTTCCTTGTATGAAATGACCATTTTGCCCCTAATAGGCCCTCAGGTTGGGCAAGGACCCGGACTTGTTTTCACCGATCGTTAATGACTCAATCCCACCGGATTTGGGTCGTTACAATCATGCCTATAAAGATAAGGGAAGAGTACAGGACTTGCATCAAACTACCATTTCCGTGATGGTTTTTATAAAAGGGATTACACAGTTTTGGTCCCCCAGTGGCAGGATGCAAGTGAGGAAGGACTCAAGACAAACCTAACCATTAGTATTTTCGAAAGTGACCGCTTTGAGGCTTCAACTCGCACCAATAGCACCAGTGCTCAAGTATCAAATTGATCGAAAATAAAAGGCATCTACAATTAAATTTTAATTTTTTGTTAAAAAGTTTTCAACTGAACTTGTTTCAAAATTGTGGTATGTATGGAATAACTCGCTCTAATTAATTTGATATCTAACATGAACGGGAACAAGCACAAAAATCCAACAGTAGGCACCTCAAAATCCAAATTTTCAATAGTGCAAGAGTAGTTCTATAATTTGGAGAAATATGATCATAACTTCCCAAGCTCAGCCAGAGTCATCATGATTATCATGCACCACCAATTCTTGTACTAAATGGGTACCCCTGTTGGTATCTAATACCACTGCTTTATTGTTGCCAACATAAAATCTACATGGCATCTGCAGCTAGCCACATGAACTCTCAACTTTAATTCAGGGATATTTCCAACTTATTTTTTTTAATAATAATAAATAAAATTATATAAAAAATCTATTTAACAAAAACAATCTTAAGCAAAATTAAAGTAAATTTTGACTCTTTTGCCTAAGAGAACTTTTCATTCATGAAAAAAATAAAAATAAAAATAAAAATAGTTGTTTTAGGAAGCTTTCTTTGTAACCTGACTGAGAAAAGGAAACATATAATGGTAAATACAAAGAACTTTCAAATGCCACCAAGAATCCCATGATAAAGCTGTCAAAAAAAAACAAAAAATAGGAGATTTCACAAATGAATTGTGACAAACAGCAAAAGATAGGGAAAGAAGGGGAAAAAATATGCACCACTGCATTCAATAATAGGTTCCCGGTATTTTTAAACATTTAAATTTTTGTTATATGCTCTAATTTGCATTGCTCCTTTCCTAGGTAATCCTTCCTTGGAGAAATTTTGGATGGCATTAAAGATGACAATTTATTAATAAAATAGCAAAATATTATAGGCAAAGAAACAAGATGATAAAATGTTCTGACTCACCATTAATTAGAGGGAGAATGCGTGTTGCATAGTGCACATAATGTAGAAGTTCTTCATTGGAATAGAATGTTTGACCAGTCTCCAAATTCCTGTAACACTACAATAGCCAAAACAAACAAACAAACAAACAAAAAAAGATAAATCCTTATAGTTCTGGTGTCAGTTGATCCTTATCTCAAATTTTTTTTTTTTTTTTTTTGTTTGCTTCAATAAGTAAATAATTAGAACAGATAGATCAGTAGATGCTTCTGTTTTCTAGGAGCATATTCTGTTGTGTAGGCTGTAGGAGAATACTCAGTGTCCTATAGGCTATAGCATCATCATCATCCTTGACTTCATCCCATATGGATGAGGTTGGCCAGGCTATAGCATCAACAATATGCAATAATTAACAATTACAAACTAATCAGTTCAGAATGTGTTGCAGTGGAACCTAAGTTTTCTTGTTCACTTCTAGTTAGTCGAGATCTAATATGTGTTGTATAACCAACATGTAACAAAGCACTACCATTCTTTCACTGTCATTATAGTAGCAACCTCTCAGTTTGGAGAGAACACAAAAAAGAGAGAGAAAGAGAGAGAGACAGAGAGAGATAATCAAGTCTATTTTGGCAACTTTGGACTCAAATCACCGACAGTTTCTTTGCAACTTCTTTATAATAAATTCAATAGTTTATTCGCAACTGAAAACAATTTTGTTAATTACAATAGAATCTAAATGAAAGTGCACCAAGTATGCACACATCATTGTCTCATTATATTGTGCATGAGCAATTAAATTTGGATGATTTTCTTCCATCTTTTCCAAGAAAAGTAAAAATAAAATATATCTTATTGGGTAAGTGATGGGTCATGGGTGCCCAATGATTTTGTCTGAGGGATTTATTCTATTTTTCCAGTCCTAGAATGGTAAACAGATAGAAGTGAAACCAAAACACCAGTTTTGGTCACCCCTATGCATGGGACAGTTACAGGAGAGAGCATATAATGGGGGACTACAGGAAGAACTGATCCATAATTGTAGAGCACAAAATCATATTTTCAATCATTTACCAACACTTTCTGTAACAAGCTTCTCAAACAAAAAGCATTATCACATCATAGGTTTACACCCTTTGTCATCATACGCTTAAAACCAATCTTGTTCGCTTAATAGATAGATTACTTTATGTATAGCAACTTAATAAAATAAATAAATAAAAAGAAGAAGATAACTTCAGCCCTAAATTAAAGAAAAAGTCAAAGTAGATACCCACATATTTTAATAAAGTTATGATGATCAAAGTACGTTCACCTTTTTCACTAGTAAAGCACATGATAAGCAGGATAGAACTTAATAATATCCAATACATCTCCATTATCTCTTTGAAATGAGAAACATTTTTCCAAGAGATAAATTATAAATATCTTAAAAACTGTTCTTTCAAAAGATCCACAAGATTAAGTTCGTTTAATCTGAAGATTGTTATCTAATCAGAGGAAACAAAAACAGATAAGTTGATAGTAACAATTATAAGTTGTTTAGATGCATGTGCACATCTAATGAATGGAACATTGAAGGTGCACAGAAATTACAAAGAATGTTTAACTATGAGTAACATGTTTGAAAACATCTTGAAACACTCCCCGATAGTTCAGAAAACAATATAGTTGAAGTAAGATGGATGAGATTCTGTTACGACAAACGCAGCGAACCAAGCAACAATTATGATAACACGACAGGAAAATAAACACACCACACAAAGAACTCAAAGATTTATATGTGGTTTGTCAAAGCCTACGTCCATGGTGGAGATCCGGCGAAAGTCTTCACTATGTGTCAAATCAGATATTACAAGTTTCAGCCCCACTCTCTATTCTGTACGAATTTCAGTGTCTCTTTCACAACTCACTCCAAACCCTAAACGCCCTTATATACCGGGCTACAAGTGAGTACTAATTAGGGCCCACACAAAGCTCGACAAACGGGTCATTGGGTCGTAAGCGGGTCACAACGCAGCCCGACACCAAATTCGGGCCACAACATCATAGATTCTATGATAAAAATAGGACTAATACAAGATGAATCTAAAGCATGACAACACAATATGCATCAAATTAGTCCAAGTTTGATATAGATTAGGTCGAATCATTAAAAAACGCTAAACTATGATCATATAATGATCAGAAAATAAATTGCAGAAATTTTAACAAAAATTTCTCAAAGGACCATTGCCTTATTTGGACATCAAAAAGGCTATTTCTTCATCATGATAAAAGAAGTGCCAGCCATTGGCATCATGACTAATGGTTGGACACAAAGCCTTTTTGTTTTTCTTTTTATTCTTTTATTAATCCAAATCTTTGATGCCCCACTGATTTAGTTGTAAATCAAAAGGGAAAAAAAATTGAACCACACTGATTAAGCTTTCGTCATTTTGAATTTTCCATGCACATAAATCAAGGAAATGGCTCGCTTGAACCATTCACTTATTTTCCAATCCTTCCTTCCTGTGAAAAAGTCAAGCTACCACAACTCAGTCCAGGATCAGTAGAAACTGTTGCTAGTTCTCCCTCTTTTCCCTAAAATGGTAAAGAACTCCCCACTCTCAATAGAGAATCAAGTGAATAGCTGGCTATCTATGCCATGATTGACAGTATAAGATTTAAAAGGTGTTTGGAACCATAAATGTTATACAATGCTATTTTGGTTCTTTCTCTATACAAGCTTGCCTACAAAACTGATTCACTGATCCATCAATTTGCACTTAAATTCTAGAAACCGTCAAATGCCACTATGTTTTGTTAGGAAAAATGGACCTAGTAATGTAATTTATCACCAACAAGAACCTAGGTTTCCTAAAGCAGACTGGATTTACTTGATCTGGCAGGATAATTTCCAGATGATTTGGTCTCTCCTCCAGTGCTAGGATGCTGCTGTAAGTTAACTTCTGAACATAATGCCTATTCGCAGAGCACTATAAGAGTCAAAAACCTTCACTGAAGGATAAAATACTAAAAGTGCTAGCTGATAATTGATCCAATCTAAAAGAAGTTCAAGAATCACTCAGAAATGGGAATCCCACATCTCGGAGAATTATTAAGGAATGGGAGACGAAGGAGGTAGAATTCTTGTTGGAACTGTTATATGGATGGTGATTCAGAAAGAGGCTCCAGATTCTACTAGGTGGACGTTAGCTCGGGGTGGAAACTGGTCAAATCATTTTATAAGGTGCTTTTATGAATGTAGTGGTTAGTTGTCACGGGTCAATTCTGTGAAAGAGTTCACATTAGTCCTCTTCGAAAGCCATACACTGCACAAAGGCATCCTGAAAGGTGGCTTTCTTTATATGAATAAATAACACATCTGTATTCACCATTGATTATCTGAGGAATTCTTACAGATTTATATTGTATGAAGTGTTACCAAATGCCCAAGACGCTAGAGGTCCTTTGGAGCCTAGGCGCAAGGCAAGGCGCACCCCTGAGTGAAGCGAGGTGCAAAATTGAAAAATTAAATTACTATTAAATTATATTCATATTCCATATTAAAGGCACAAATGTTGTCAAAAGCAAACTTGGGCACACAACAGGCGCAAGTGTTGCGGCTGTATGAACCAAGAGCCTAGTGCCTTTAACAGCGCTGATTGTATGAACAAAAAAAGATGCAAAGAGTGTGTATCATCATCGTCTTCGTTATGAGATTGCTAGGGAGATGTGATGCCTTATGTTCTCAATATGTAGGGTGACCTGGGTAATGCCAGTGCCAATTGGAGATATGCTGATAACTTGGGAGGGGAGTCAACTGTCAAGTGAGGAGGAGTTCCAGGCCATTTTGGGAGATCGCTCTCTTATGCTTGATGTGAAATCTTTGGACTACAAAAATTAGAAGGTTTTTTTTAAGGCGTGAAACTTTCAATCTAGTGGTTTTAATTTTTGAGCCCTTTATTTCTTCGGATGAAGAAGGCACCAGAACCATTTCTTTTTCGATTTTCCTTAGTTTATGGGTGATATGTTTTAGTATGCAGCACTGAAATCTATTAGTGTAGCACATAGGATAGCCACGATTTATGGAATGACTTACCATAGTAGCATAGATTTGATTATGCATATGTTAACATATATGATAGCCATGATTTATGGAATGCCTTACCATATTAGCAGAGATTTGATTTAAATTGGATTTAGTATCTTTTCTTGTAATATTAGTATGTGCTTTTATTTTATCTATAAATACTAAAGCTGTGAATAAGTGATTCATATCATTCAAGCCTTTACACAATTCTCTCATTTTTTTTATACTTCTACTTGGTATCAGAGCCAAGGTGGTCTGACTGCAATGAGGGCATTTCGAGTTCAAACGGTCTAAGGAGACATAGTTGTTTCTTTTTTGTGGTCAAAGGAGACAGTTGTTTCTTTTTTCTACATTGTTTAAACATATGTATAAAGGGGAATGGTCTGAAGAGACATTGTCGATTCTTCCATCTACATGTTTTAAACATGTGAAGGGGAACGGTCTGAGGAGACATTGTTGGTTGTTTACGGTCTGAGGAGACATTGTTGGTTGTTTACAGTCTAAGGAGACGTGATTGGTTGTTTACGGTCTGAGGAGACATTATTAATTGTTTATGGTCTGAGGAGACATTTTTGATCTAGTCAGATTTGCACTCTGCAACTTGTAGATTCTGAAGAGGGTGCTAGCAAGACCGTGTTTGAAGATGCGTTGTCCAAGTTAGGCATTTCAGATATCCACGCACCAACCTAAGGGGGAGTGTTAGCATATATGATAGCCACAATTTATGGAATGACTTACCATATTAGCATAGATTTGATTATGCATATGTTAACATATATGATAGTCATGATTTATGGAATGACTTATCATATTAGCAGAGATTTGATTTAGTTTCTTTTCTTGTAATATTGGCATGTGCTTTTATTTTATCTATAAATACTAGAGTTGTGAATGAGTGATTCTTATCATGCAAGCCTTTACACAATTCTCTCATTCTTTTTATATTTCTACTATTAGCTTCTAATATTATGACATAAAGTATGCTAAATAATCATTTAGACACAGCAAAGTTCTTAGTTTTTAATGGTTTTGTACTGCATCAGGCAGACTATCAATGCTTGTAAGAGAGTGTCCTCGTCATATCCTACTTCAATAAATAATTGCTTTTAGGAAGGGAGGGGGGCACTTTGCTATTTAATCTATTTAACATTAACTAATTCACGAAATGATAGGCAAAATTACTCATCAGAAAAATAGGGATTATTAACATTCCTTTCTAAATGAACATAATTAAGAATTAACACTGACTGCTCCATAGTGCCAAATTAATGAGGGTCATCAATTATTGAGTTTTGTTAATGTTTTGCGGATTTAGAAGACAAACAATTCCAAAACTGCACATTTCCTCATATGTAACAACACCTTACATTGACTAAAATCTTTCAACATGTGAAGACTAGTAAGGTACACATTCATTAAATAGAACATCAAAATCGACTTCTTCTTCTTCTTCTTTATAGTGTGCGGAACCCAAAAGAACAAGCAAGAAACCTTAGCAAAATCGATGTACAGATTCAATCACTCTAGCACATATGTGAGAAGCTAATTTCAGCAATTATATCATAAGACAACACAAATACGAAAACCTAATACATCAGTTCATACAATTAAATCATAATTAGAATACTACAATGAACTAATCAATCTATGGATCTGAGTAGAAACAATAATTTCCAATGATTTCAGGTGAAGATGTACGATTACCTCTGCTTTAGAACCATCCTTGCGATTTTCATAGTTTTTTACCCAGCCACTAGGAAGCGATTCGGCCCTATTTTCTTCCGCCATGTACAAAAATAGCTTTCCTCTAGGCACTCACAATGTAAAGATTTGCCTTCTATGGTCGGAAATGAGACGCATAAATAGCTCTCTAGTCAAGGGTGAGGGAGTAGTATGAGAAGCGATCAGTATGCCCTAATAAGTTTCCCTTGAAAGCTTCACAATCTATTGCTCTCTACTATATATTTAAGATAGAAACTGAGACATTGTGATAAGAATGAGGATAAATTGAGAACAACTAAGAAACTATTCACTAAAGCCACGTGTTCTCAATCTTCAAAAACAGAGACCCTAGAGCTAGAGATTAAGAACTGTTTCCACAAAACCAATCTAATTTTCACTAGCCTATCATGAGGTAATTATTGGGTTAACGTAATTCCTTACCTTGTGGGAAATTAATCAACATTTATGGCCTTTAACGATCATGGTTGAAAGTAACAGTTGTTACTGTTGTCGAACATTAACGGACGTTACAAATTAACCATATTAGTCTCCCATAATTTCAGTCATAACCCTCTCTCTCCATTGGCAATAAGAGTGAGAAACATGGCTTTAGAGAATCTTCTATTTCTTAATTGTTTTCAAGACCCACTTGATTTTCACTAGTCTATCACGGGGTAAGTATTGGGCCAACATTACTTATCTAAAACAAAAAAAATAAAAATAAAAAAGTACTGGGCCAACATTAATGCTTACCTTGTAAGATATTAAGCACTGTTTCTGGCTTTCAATATCTCATGATCTAAGCTTAGATCATAAAGCAAGAAAATCGGACAAGTAAATCAAATTTGTTCTATATTTCATTTTTGACATCACTTAGATTGTTACTTTAATGAATTTGTTAGTTCATGTTAAAACTTACCGGTGGTTGGTAACAATGGGACCTAGAACACTATTTATTGAGTAACTTTTTATACTTTCATATTAGATGAATTTAAATTTCAATGTAAAATTTATGACCCATATGAAAAAACATAAATTCAATAAATATTTACTAAAATTCCAAATTTATGCTATTTTGGGGTTAAAACACGTGGCTCTTTAAGAGGATACGAGTGACGAGGAAAAAAATCCCTTTTTAACAGCTATATTCGTTGTATTACAATCATTACACAGCATGTCTATTACACCGTGACCTTCATCATTATGGAAATCATTCTATTCTTTAAGATCTCATATGATATATAATTAAATTGTTATTTAACTTTAAGGCAACATATAAGTCACATTGTTATAAGTATATGAACTATTGAGCAAGGGAGGATTCAGGATTTCTAGTTGGGCTGGGCTAATATTAAACAAAAATTTAATAACATAAAAAAAAAAAAAAAAAAAAAAAAAAAAAAAAAAAAAAATTATAACATAATATAGATAAATATTTGAATTCAATGATATATTAAAGTTTTATTCATTTGGTTTCACCACATTACATTTTGCATGCTGGTTTGGGCCTTTATTTTAGTACGGTGGCCGAGTTGACTTGGGCTTCATTGAGTGGCCTAATTTTGGGGTGGGCTAATACTATTAATTTTTTCCATTTTTTTTGGGCTGGGCTAACATTAGTATAGTCAAAAAAAAAAAAAAAAAATTAGCCTGGGCTACAGCCCACCTTTGCCTACCCCTGTGTCCGCCTTTGCTATTAGTGTTCTACATTTGTGCTTAGCGATGCCTATGAAAAAGGCATGGCATGCATCCCCACATCCAAGCCAACTAGCCAAAAGAGCCACAACATTGTACCTTTGCTACGCCCCTGAAAAATTCAGGAATCCTATCCTCAATCTTGCTTCCTACTCCATTTGTCCCGCTAGAAACAATTGCAAGTTAGTCAACATATGAAATTATTAGTTGCTTGTAAATAAGAAAGGAAGAGATGATGAGATGAGAAAGCATCACAGGTAGAGAAGATTTAGCAAATTGGTATTGTGGATGTAAGCAAATTGGTTATAACCCTAGGAAGAAGGACACCACCCTGCAACTCTAGTAACAGAAAATGTGGTGGCAGTGAACAACAACTAGAGGCAATGGAACTTTGACAAAGAGGAAAATGACAGTCTTAATTAACCATTAACAAACAAATAAGGAATATCATTTAATTTTAATATATGAATAAAATGGATGAATTCTCTTATGCTATGTTTGGTATGAGAGATGGGAGAAATAAGTGGAAGGGAGAAATATAGTGATGGATGAGACATCCATTGGGAAGGAAGGGCGTCCTTCCTCCTTTTATTTTGTTGAATTTAGCTGGATGGAAGGGAAGGAAATGGATTATATTATTATTTTACCACTAAACTTTAGATATACAAATTAAAAAAATTTAAATGAGGGTAATTATGTTTTGTTCATTTTTATTTAACAATATCCTGCTTACTTTCTCCTCTTCCTCCCACTTTTGGAGGGAAGCAAAGTAGTAGGCCCAAAGGGATGAGGCACCTTGCCCTATTCCTCTCCCTTCTACCAATCAATAGAAGATTACTCCATCCATCTTTCCTTTCCTCCCTCCCTCCTTCTTCCCTCACTCCTACCAAACATAGGCTTAAATCGAATGCTACCCCAAACACAACTATGTTCTAATATCCTTTCATACCTACCATTCCCTACAATAAAACCTCACCCAAATTGTCCTAATAATGTCAAGCATAGAAATAAGTGGAAGGAAGAGATAAAGTGATGGATGAGACATCCCTTGTGAAGGGAGGATGTACTTCACTCGTTTTATATAGCTGGATGAAAGGGAAGGAAAATGATTATATTATTATTTTACTATTATACTTTTAGATATATAAATAAATTTACAAATTTAAATGAGGATAACAAAGTTTTTTCACAATTCAAAAATAAATTAAATAAATAAAGTTTTTCACTTTTATTTAACAGTATCTTTCTTTCTATTTCCTCTTCCCAGTTTTGGATGGAAGCAAGGTTTTGAATGGAAGCGAAGTAGTGGACCAGGAGGGATGAGCCTCCTTCCACATTTCCTCTCCCTTCTACCTATCAATAGAAGCTTACTCCATACATCCTCCCTTCCCTCCCTCCCTCTTCATTCCCTCATATCAAATATTGGCTCAAATCAAATGCTACTCCAAACATAACTGTGTTTCTCATCATCGTTCATACCCACCATTCCCTAGATTAAAATATCACCAAACTTGTCCTAATAAGGTCAAACATAGAAGATTACCTTTATTTGTTACAGTTCCATCGCTAATCATTGTATTTTAGAAATTGTACAATATTAATTCATTAAAATAGGTATGACAAAATTAATAATATGATAATATAATAATTAATGGATAAGGCAAATAGTCAGATGCCTTAAAAGTAACCTTGATTAAATGCGGTACATATCAAACAAAGATAAATCATCCCCCTAAAAAAATGATAAGTATGGAAATGTCAAAGAAGTGATGCACACGGGTCCAGTGTTCATGAAGTGTCAGTATACGATACATGTCTAAAGAAAATATAGCTAATTTTCTGAATTGTACTCACTTCTGCGCTTGCACCCAATGGGAAGTTGTCACTTGTTACAGAAATTGCACTCAATTGTCACAATCAAGTGAAACTCTCATATTTGGATTGATAGAAAATAAAGGTTGAACACCACCAGATGAAGAATTTGGCACTATAAGTAAGGAATTAAGGATGCATTTTTTGAAAAGATGAAGTATGTACTTTTTGATAAATTTGATTCCATGAAGAAAACAAAAAGCTTATTGATCAGTAAAATATTAAGAATACATGATTAATTTTTAGCAAAGAATTCATGCTAATTTACCAAATGTGACCTTTAGATATTAGTACACAGCACAACTAGTTCATGTCTTATGTGTATATCGTAGTTATAGTTAGTTAAAGCAAATCTTCCATCAGCTCTACTTTAGAATTAATCTGTCATAGTTCAAAAGATCACATTTAAAGAGTTAGTTGATGTTAGAAGGATTAAATCATCCCAGATGTTTATTTAATTAGATGAGCCATACTTTTGGAAGTAATTAAGTGTTTCCAGTAGCTGTATCTTAGCTACCTCGAATATTTAATTGAATTTACCATTCCCTCGAAACAGTTGTTCTCTTTTGTCATTGCTAGAAATCTGACTATTCTCTAGGATTTATTTTTTAAACAACTTAGGATTTGTCTTACAGTGGTGTTGCTCCAACTCCACAGTACAACCCAATTTATAGGTATTTAAAAATAATAATAAAAACACTATGCAAACTAAGATGACATAATCATGAGGTTGTTCAGTTATTCCCGCAGTCAGTACTATTGCTAGGGGAAAACTTCTCTGTGTATGCCAGGTCAGAACCTGCAACTGCTCCCACTTATATCTCTGTACTGAGTATGGGGTATCGAAATCCCCAAAGCAAGCCAGCTACTTTCTTTCTAGTAGAAGGCAAGAAGGCGATACAGTTATAGCAAATTCCTGGAAGGGTTCTACTTTACTTGTTCTTATCAAATGTTTTATTTAAACAACAGTTATTATGCTTGTGGAATCGAATTAGAAAGAAAAAATATATAATCATCTACCAAGAGGCGTAATTAATGTTTTTTATGTGATTAAGGCAACCACAGTTGGACTCATTCACAAAGTTTCAATTTCTGTCAGCTGAGTAGCATAGTGGGCATTTGTGGATGTGTGTGAGTATTTACCTAACCTAAAAAATATATGTTAGGCTTTGTCGGCCCTTTGTCAGATGGTGCCATGGCTTTTAATTACATATAAACCATGGTTGATGCTAATTGAGATTGGTAGTAGATTTACATAGATAAGGCTCGTTGGTGATTTTCTATCAAGTGGCATTAATTATAAGAAAATATAAAATTTCCTAGTACAAGCAATTATTTTATAATTAGAATCAGCTCTGACTAGAATACTTTAATATTTTAACAATACAATGTCTTTCAATTCTCTTTAAGTAGGTTCAATTATCGAATTCAACACACAATCAGCCATCCATCTGTCATGTATTACCACTACAAGGGAAAATGATTTTGTCAATTGAGGAGTCTTGTAGGTTTTCTGTGAACTAGAAACAGGAACGGTCTGTTCCAAATTTTCATCTGATTCGATCTTATCATGCAATGGTCAAAATCTACATTTACCCAAAAAGAAATAAAATCCATTTCTTTCATATGTGTCATCATTATGAAAGGAAATTAATAAAACGGAGTAGGAGACAAAATGCACACAAAACCTAGGACCTCATTTTGCAAATTAAGAAACAAACAATTTGATATATGGCTCACACATATATATATATATTATAGAAACAAATGAATAACCACTGATAATTAAAATGCCTTGTAAGTGTCCTATGAACAAAATGAAACAGTAACACTCACTTCCAAAATTTCATCTGATTCGATCTGCCCTAGCAATAAAATTCATATCTTTCATTTGCGTCAACCAAAGGAAATTGATCGAACAGATTACGAGACAAAATGTAAACAAAACCTAGGACCTCAATTTTACGATCTAAGAAACAAACTATTTGACATATAGCAATACATGATATATAATACAGAAACCAATAAATTACTATATATCACACAGAGAAACATGACAAATATAAAAGATACATGTACAAACATACAGATGGAAACGAGTCCAGGAGGTTGTATTTTTCCCTTCTCTCCAAGAGCGAGGAGGACGCATTAGAGTTTGAAGAGAACTCCGAGAATTTGGAGACTGGTCAAACATTTTATACCAAGAAAGATCGCTTACCCAGTGCTGCTGTTAGAAAGAACCCTAAAATGTGAACGAGGGTTTGATTTCTATGGCTTCTTTATATATTCTCTAAAAAAACATAAAAATAAATAAATAACCCCAACGGAGATTCAAGTGTTGCATCAACAACGAAGTTCTACCCTGTGTAGCCGTGTTCTCGAGTGTTAAAGGGTCATGCCTCACTTACTTGCCTTGCCTTTTGTTTTTTTTTTGTTTTTTTTTTTTTTGTTGTCTCTTAATAAATTTTTTTAAAATTATTTTTTAAACAATTATATATTATCTATTGTAAAAGAAATATGAGAACTAACTTACTCTAATAAAGAGACAGTATACAGGAGAGAAAATTTGAGTTGATTCTGTTTTATATCATTACCGAGGAAATAAATACATATGTATAGACATCCAATTGACTGAAGTAGTGTGTAGATTCCTTTCTATATCGTTACTGAGGATACAAATACATATATATACAAATACATATATATAGACATCCAATCGACTGAAATAGTATACAATTACAACTTGTAAATGCCTGCCACCTTTTGTTTTGGCGTTCAACACCCATTGCATCACTACACCAAGCAGATATGATTTCTGGTGCATATCATTTTGGTGTAATCATGACTAAGACTAATACAAGTTGTAGGCCTACAATTCACATATCCATTTGCATAGATATAATATATTTGTGGGCCCATTATAATATATACCACTCTCCCTTAAGGACCACAATCCTACGCTGCTAAGAACACACTTTGTTAAACCTTGCTAGAAAAAAACTGGAAAAAGTTATGCATAAGTAGGGTTAGGAGTCGTAAATAACAAAATGATCTATTTCAAAAGTTTGTTTTTCAATTTAATTGAATTAAATAAAATAATTACAAATTCATCAAGAATTATTATTAAGGTCCAAACTACCCTCCAAACTCTTATTCCAAAATACTAAAATATCCTTTTAAAAATAATATAATTTCAAAATAGAAAGTTGATAATCAATTGAACTAGTAAATAGGAATTAAATAGTTGATAATGACAACTTGAAAAAATGGAAAATTAGATTTTGGTGACCAAATTTGAGAAGATTTGTTTTTAAGTGATCTAAACTCTAGAAAATATAAATGGTGACCAAACTTAAAAAATAATTACCAAGAAGTGACCAATTGAGGATAATTTGGGTAAGAACACTCGTTATGTATAGAAGTGTTGAAGATGAATGGGGCTAAGAAACAAGAGAGACAAGGATGATGAAAAATGTGATCAGGATGCATATATAAGGTGTTGTTTGAGAGAGCGAAGGTGAATCTGATGGAGAGGGGGGTTGCCCATCTCTGTCTACTCAATCAATTGTTTCTGGATACAAAGATAGCTCTCTCCAAACCCCCTCTCAATGAGCGAGAATTGCGATGGGTGTTTAGGAAATTATGAGGCTTAATGACCGCATATGGTCTTGATTTACAGAATAGTTATCTCCTTAATTCTTTAATAAAATTCAATTATATATAGCAATGTTAATCTTGTCTCATTTTGATTTATTTACACAACATATATATAGATGATTTGAGAGTACAGTAAAATAATGGATTCTCTCGATGACATCCTAATAAGAATTCAATCGATAGAATCACGAGGTAGTTTATATACTTGAGTATGTATACTTGTATATTGTCTTTCATTTCAATTACTCGTGTAGCTTGACATGATCCCTTAGTTCACCTTAGAGCATAGACGTTAGGAGGAATAACCCCTTGTAATGATCTATATTGAACTTGCATGATACTTAAAACTTTAGGGTATACGCATGCACTTCTTCCTACGAGTAACTTCTTTACTCACCCTAGTTGTTGGGATATTTTTCAGGTACGGATACCTTGGTTTGAGATGCACAACATCCCTAGGTTACCTTATTTATTTCGGAGTACTTTGATGTATTTTAAACGAGCATGCAAGTGTTAGCATGTATCATTTTGCTTTCTTAAGTTGTAATGCATAGTTAGACTTAAAATGTTACTTTTGCCTTGAAACATGTAATGTGTACCTAAGTACACTTTTCGACACTTATTTTATATTTATAATATGTGGCTAAGAGCCAAACTTCATTTGGAATCACTTGTATGCACTTAGTGTTGAATTTTACCTTTAAAGGGAATATTATGAAATTAACGGTTTTGATATGCCCTTTTTGCTTCGGAGTATGCATTGTGTATGCAAATTTACTTTTTGAGGTTCACTTAATATATATGAGGTGTGGCCAAGGGTCAAATACCACTTTGATTTCATTTATGC